AAAGAGCATTTTAATGAGATTTAAATAAAAATCTAAGTAAATGTCAAGATTCAGTCTTACGACACCAACTGCAACCCAGCAGACTGATACAACAAAGAAAAACATTAAGTTTTCTTTCCAGCATTTTGGTTTATAAACTTAACCTGGTTGTAACTTCTTGGGACTTCTTAAATGTTTCCTTGGTTTTCCTAGCAGTTCTTTTACAATATGTACCAAGAAACTGGATATGTTCTACATGCTGTATTAATTGTATATAGAAGAATCTGTCATTATAAACTAGTTTTCACATACAGACTTTTCAGAGACTTAAAACACAGCTCTGCTTTGCAGGATAATACACTGTCTAGAAAGTTGGGGATTTTTATTTAACTTTTAGGAAATCCAAAATCATAATATTTAGAGGTGTTTGTAAGCTTGGTCATTCCACATGACAAAGCCAAGCTTGGAGAGCATGGAAACCATGAACAACATGTTTTGGTCATCTGCAGAGTGAGTTAAATCACCAGCAGGATGTTTTCCAATTATTTTACAGAAAGTGTACAGATTTTAAGTTAAGATGTTTAAATGCCATAAATCAATCATACTAGCACCATTTGTGCCACTGTAGTAAAGATTACATCAGTGTTTCCATCATAAAACCCCTATTTTTCAGGGGTTTCTAATTCAGCCATAAAAATTGGCTCCAGCCTAAAGCCTGGCAACCAAAGTCACCACTTGGGAGCAATTCTTTTAACTTTTTTTTTTTTTTTTTTTTTTTTTTTTCAATAGATTGGCCTTTCAAGCTCCAAAATAGTTCAGAAAAAGAAAATTAGTGGTTTCAGATTTTGGTGAACTTCTATCCCTCAAAAATATTGTTTTAAAAACTGATAATTTCGTATGTCATAAATCTGTAATGTGGACTGTTGCTTTTGGGTAATTTGGATAGAAGCAGTGGATAAAAATCACTGACTTATTTTGTTTAAAAATACACGTAATTTCCCATGAAAACTTTTAATCCAATAAAATTTTCATAAACTATTTTCTCATGGCAAGATGTGGTAGACATTGAATGAGGAAACCTTTATGACTTCTCTTCCAACTCACAACATTCTATGATTCTATGACTCATTTATGCAGCATCTATTCCATTCATTTTAATTTCTGTGGTAAGAGGTACATAATACTGCATTTTGACACCTTGCGTCAAATCTGCCTACCTTCAAGACAATAATTCTGCCCTTTGTTAGCAGGGCAGATCCGCCTGTGACCTTGCCATGGTCCCTGACAGTTTTGTGTAAGCAAAGAAGAAGAAACAGAAGAAATACTTAGAAAGCAGCAAAGAAATAGAATTCCTTTAAAATGTATTTTGTTTTAAAACGTGTGTTAAATACTGATTCTAACTCACTTCTAACAGTCTCAATTTTTCTCCTGCACATTAATTATAAGAATTATCTACTAGACTTTAAATCTAGCTTAGTTCTAACATGTTAAAAAGTCTTTTGGATGCTAATTGATTTCAGTAAGATACCTCAAATCAACATGAACATGATTCGATCTTCAGGCTCTCAGCAGCTTTCATAAACACAGGCTCAGCAAAAGGGAATTACAAGCCCAGTCCCACCCACTGCCTATCAAAGTCAAAAAAACTTGTCAACAGCCCTGATCAGCTTTGGATTGAAGCCTCCATGCAGTTTGAATTCCTAGTATAATTTTTTTTTAATTCATATTGAGGCAGCAAATTGATTTGGAAAGCCATTTCCATAAGTTCTGAGAAGCTTAACAGCCCATATGCTTTTTTTGAAAAATTATTTAAAATATATAATAATTGCTAAATTATAGCATTAGTTGCTTGAGGGGAGGTTGTCTAGTTTATATTTAGCCCTTATGTCATCCATGTCAATTTTTAATACGACACTTCTTGGCTTTTGTCAGTTTGCTGCAGAGCTGTATTTTCTTTTCTTCAAACAGCTATTTGCAATGTAAAAACAGATATTTGCCCTCTTCCCCACACCATTTTGTGATATCAAACTGGTGCATGCTAATACAATCCATACCATTGTCCTGGGTTTGGTTAGGATAGAGTCAATTGTTCACAGGGAACTGGGAGGGGAGCAGCTGCCACCGTAAAAGTTATCACCTTCATATTTAATGAGCTTTCAAGGAAACTATGTTTTGATTGCAAAAGAAAGAAAAAAAAAAAAAAGAAAAATACTGTTGAATATAGAGTATATTCAGAGAAAGCACAGGAAACAGATTTCCCACCCCCTCCCATCAAACTATGTGTGCAGACACTCAAAAATGTAAGAAGTAAGACAACAGAGAAAAAGTCCAAAGAAAACAGAAAAGACTGATTCAGCTAGTCACAGAGGGAGATGCTACACTTACTAGCTTTGGTGTTCCATTAGCAAAAATTTTTATTATGATATTATATTTGTTTTGATATCAACTGATATTCTTTTGCATAAAAAAACCATTACAGTGCAATACCGACAACATGCACTCACATCTAAATACTTCACCTGAAAATTCGGTCTAGGAAGGCAAAGTGCTTGGTGAGAAGCAAAGAACAGACAATAGCACAGCTGGAAACTTACTTTGAAGTAATTGCATTAATCAAAGAGAAATTGCACAATAGGTAGCACTGGTCTGTAGCCACATCGTAGGCTTTGCAGCTTTGAAGTCCAATGAATTTGACCCTGAGCTCATTTTAAGAATCTCCAAGGTATTTTCTAAGCAGGGTTGGCTGTGCAATAGGTGGCAGCCTCCTCTCTGAATCACACGTATGCCTGGGACACAAATCACTACCTTTTGGTTGAGATTTAAAACTTGTGCTCATTAATAATTTTTTTTAATTTTTTAATAGTGCTAATCTTAGGTTCCCAGCCAAATTCCAAATCACAGTAATATGACCTGTGATACCTACTAAAATTTTCTCCAGAATTTCCACTCTATGTGAATATCTGAGCTACTACCCTAAGCAGTAATAATCTACTCACCACTTCAGATATAAATGTGATCTGTGCTGCTCTGGAAACAAAGTCACAATTCTTTATTTTCTGACCAACTTTTGCAATGGTATTGCATGTAGACAAATTCCTGTAGTATTCCACCATTAACTGGCTACTCTTCTCTGCTCCCTGAAGCAATCTTTCTATATCAATCTTTAAGTGAAGCTGGTAATGCTGTGAACACTTTTACTGGCTATTGCATTAGTGTACTAGGGTGGAAAGCTAAATGGACTACTAACTAAAACCTGACAACTTCATATTTAAATATTTTATTGAAAATCCACATTAATTTTGAATAACCAATTCTTTTTATTATTTTTTTTTTTTTTTTTTACATTAACTCACTCTGAATAATCTCCAGTAGGGGTGACTAAGCTTTCTTACCCTATCCAACACCTACCAAATGTAAGATTTTCCACAGCTATGCATAGGGTGGAGAACTAGTAACAAACATTTATGCATAAGAAAAAAGGGAAATGGTTGTGGAAAAGGAGAAACCAAAGTTACCTACACACTGCACAAAGAGCATGGAATCTAGCAGGCAATTGCATGATGGCCCTAGAATCAGGCATAAAGAAGAACAAACTGTGACATGGAGAGGATGGAAACAGAAGAGCACATCACGTGTAGCAGAAGGAAAGCATGTGGAACTATGCATAGGAAGTTCTATATGCAATTATCTCCACTGGAGAGAGAACAGAGCACACACTGTAGGCAAGGTGTCCTAAAAATGCAAGGTCCTGTAAGACTTTTTTAGATAAAAAACCTCAAGCTTCATGAATTAAAAAATTCAACATATCTCTCAGGCTTAAAGATGGTTTTGTTTACAAAACAGGAAGCATGACTCTTTCTCCAGGACTAGCATTCACAACAGAAATCATAAGAATCCTAAAGCATCTAGCTACTGCTGAAATTAGCTCCAGCATGTTTTAAGAATAGAACCTGTTCACCACAAATCACTTGAAAAATAAATACGTGCTGGTTTATGGTAGGAGATAATGTTTTCTCAAGAGGACAAGCAGAGTCCAATTTCAACCAGGGGTGATGATAGAAAAGATCTCATCTTATACTAGCATTAACCAGCTGCAGTATCCCCTAACCAGAAGCATGCATGTATACCTAATTACTTTTTTCTGACCTACACAAAACTCATTCTCTTCTTTTAGCCAAAGGCCACTTAGTAAAACAACCATGATGTTCATGTATTTGGGAACTAAATATATGCAACTTAATTAGATCTCACAATATCAGAATTTAATAAGCTCATAATAATGACATATGCTTCACACACTGTGTGCACACCCAAACACACAGATAAACAAACTCTGATGGTCAAAAATTTACTAAGCAGAAAGTTGGTTTGGCATATGCTGAACAATGTAAAAGCAGTTTTTAATGATGCAGATGTATTAAACTATCACAGACTTAAAATTTGCATAGTATTTAAATAAAATTATTTTTGAGAAAAAATATAATTATATTTCAGTTATAGCCTTTTACATAATACATGGGGGCAAGGTAGAAGGAAAAAAAAAATCAGTTTTTAGACATTCTTAGAACAAATTATTTGTCTCCACACTTTGTGAACTGGAAGTCCAACCTCAAAGTGACGTGTGTCATAAAGAGAGTTGGCAAACATGGAAATTGAGAAAAGTAGCCTCAATGAGGGGCAAAGCAATGATATGAAGACGACAGGGTCATGGGTGGAAAATCTGTCAATGTTTTGAAAACTCACTGATTTCTTAACTCACTGGGAGGGGGACGGGGGAAGGGAAAACTAAAAAAACAAAGTATAAAACTAAGAAAATGCACATAAGAGGCAAAACACACCAGTTGAAGCCCTTCACTTGTAAAGAACTTCTGAAGCATACCTTTTTCTTGAAGGGGAGAAAGCACCAAATTAATATAAGTATTCCTGTCTCAAAAGGCTGAGTAGGCTGTTGTCAGAAAAATCAGTGCTTTAATTTTTAAAACTGACAGTGTCAGCAGTTCAAAAGATTTCACACTGCTTACCTCATTGCAATGTTGTAAGACTCTGGATGAATACAAGTTTGGTCCAAAGGATTGGGCTGTCGTGAGGCACATGGTGTTGGTTTGCTCTTCTTTTTACCTTGTGCACTTGATTTTGTCAAAAGTGCATGACTTCCAAGTTCAGTTTTCTTGCTACTGTCAGAAATCAAAAATGGACATGACATTCTTAATGAACAAGATCCTAGCCCAGTGCCCACACAGGAAAAAGGCAATTTTTTTTTTTTTAAATGATTATATAAAAGTACAAAACCTCTAAAAGCTCATTGTAGGTTAATCGTAACAATACAGTTACAATGTAAAAAGATAACATATCAATGTATGCATAAATTAATTTAAAATATTGGGAAGGGATTCCATACTTTATCAAAATTTCTTCATGATGACAAGATTATAAAGGAAACTATACAACCTATTGTATCATTTGCAATCTGGATAGCATCTTCTGTTTGTAAAATGGGGACAACTGCATTACCTACTTGATAAAGATCTTGTGACGATAGTTTCATACTTAACTGTTGGTAACTAGTTGGCATGATTTTAAATTTGAAAAATTTATAAACACAATTTCCTGTTTATACCATCTTTAGGTAAGCAAATTGCATCTCAAGTATATGTTTAGAACAAGGAAAGTATGTGAATGCTTAAACATCACAACTCCTTCAACCACATTTATTGACTTTCTATACTGAAATTTCTGAAAAATTATGCTCAAACATGGGTCAGGTCAAAATATGAAAAATTTCATATCAAAATAACTCAGACCGAAATTTGCTTAGAACTGAAAAAAGCTAAAGGTCAAATCTATTTCAGAATTTATGAACCATTTTTACGAAAGTATCTTAATACAGGTTTTCTTAAAGCTTAGTGAATGAATTACTGACTCCTAGTCAGTTAGCATTTGGATTGGGCTTTTTTTTTTTTTTCTTTAATTGGCTGGATAATGCAAAGGTTTCAAAGTCTCAGAAAGATCCATGGACAGATTGCCTACATTGCTAGGAGGACTTTCCAGAACACAGGAGAGAAAGAGGTCTATCTTTGTGTGTGTAGCATATTTACAACTGGCATGCTACTTCCCTTAAATTGTCCCTTAAATAAAAAAATGCTCAGGATACAGTAAAGGCATCAAATGACTCCTGCTGGCAAAGGCTCCTTTCTTACCTTGTTTTTTGTTTGCTTTTGTTTCCTAAATCACAAGTGGTTTTTGCTTTTGCAGGACAAAAAGGAACACACTGAAGGACCTAGAACTAGCACTTGCTCCTCGAGCTCTACCTATACACGGACTGTCACCAAATATGCAGACATAACTTTCTCCTTCCATTTAAATTTTTAAAATAACCGCTATTTGTTAACTAATTCAGAGTACTCTATAGCCATCAACATGACTAGAGAGGACAAAAATGAAACCTTCTCAAAGTTCATTTCAAAAATGTTTGGTTTTGCCACCTGGGCCCAGAAGAAATGTTGTGGAGGCAATGGTGTTAGAGCTTTATTTTGGCCTCAAACTCCAAAGTTATGGCAGATTTCTCAGGTTATACAGTGTTCTCAAGTTTTATGGAATCTGACTAACATCAGAAGCATGCTCCAGCAAGGGAAAAAAAATATACAGTGTTCTTAAACATTTTAGCAGTGAACTTTCGGAAAAGAATACATGGCGTCAGCCTTTTCTTCCTCTGTTGTATCGTAGCATTCACTAGAACAGATCTGCATAACATAAGACCTATCGATCATCTACAGTCTTGAAAGCAATTTCTTTGGTCTTCTGGTGCTTACAGAGTGCACCATTTGGCCTGCAGCATGTACCTCCCTGCCAGATGGGCAACCAATCTGTATACCTTCCACCCAGGTAGTAAGCCAGTCCTAATGTGCCTACCTCCTGCCTGGAAGTTACGCGTGTGCAGTTTGGCCAGCAGCAACTGGGAATACAGTGTTGCTTCTGAGCGTTGGGTTGGCTAAAAAACAGCATGTGCTTCCCAGAAAAATATTTTTTGAGAAGAGTCAGCAGCAAAAGGGTGAGGATGGTGCTACCACTCTGACTTTCTTAGTTCTTTATCTTGGAAGGAAAAATAGGAAACACAGGAGAAGAGACATTGCCCTAGAAAGGGCACATTCAGCTGTGGAGAAGAAGGATTTCAGGTGAAGAGGAGAAGCACGATGAACGGCTGCAAGAGGGAATGGCTTGGTACAGATACAGGGAATGAAATGGCAGAGGAAAGGATGACCCAGTGTTGATAAACTGGAGTTGAGAAAGGGCCTCTTACACATTTGAGATACAAGGCAGTCACATCATGCTTGCTAGGCACAGGAATATAACAGAGACAGAGCTTGGTCCAGACAGCTTATTCAAATTTCCCTCTCCAGGTAATGGAATTGAAACTCTCCAAAAATCTACTCTAGGTTACTGCCGTTATGTTCTGCAGAGTAACCTTTACCACATTAAAATGAATTTACAAATCTCTAAATTATCCCTGAAACACAAGACTGTAAGTTCTTAATATCTCAGATCACGACACTGCTGCAAGCCAAATTTCTTCTGTCGACTCAGTGGCACAATTTGTAATTAAACTTACATACTTATAGAAACCCTGACTTAAGAGTACTAGTTTAATAAACCATGATTATTCAGCAGATCTATGTTCAACTACTAACTTAAAGAAGTTTATTTGTTAAAATACTGTCTTTAAGAAGGAAAAGGCCTAGGATTCCTCAAATCTCAAGCCTGAACACAAAAAAGAAAGGAAAGAAGTCTTCTCCTAGTATTTTTGATAATCTAGTCAAGATAGCCAACATCTCTATTACCTGCAGAAGGTCTTTATATATTCTTGATTGAATCTGATGAAGCCAGCGCATTGTTGGAAGGATTTGGGACCCAGACCTTTAACTTCCTTGAGCTGTTCTCGGTTTATAAACGGTCCATTCTTCTCTCGCCACTCAATTATATTTTTAGCCCTGTTAGCATTCAGCCCTGCAATGTGTCTAAGAGAAAAGTTTACAGAATACATTTATTACCATTGAACAGTCATTAATACAAGTCATATCCATTACCAGGATACATATTACTGTAGAAAATCTGGATATAAAACTTAAGGACAGCCAAGAAATTTGCAAGTATACTCCCAGACCAAAGGCATCATCTGAAAAAGGATCTCTTCTCTTAGTTCTGTGGAAGGAATCCACTCAAGTCAACAAAACTTGGTATAGCCAGACAGTTCTGCACATACCTAACTAGTAAGGCAGGCACGTGTAATTTATGATCTGTTGGCTATTTCTGTAATACCAATTCAATTTGTCACGTCTTATGGCCTGCCCCCAGCTGCCCTCTTCAGGAAACAACATGGGAGGAGTGTTCAGGACAGATAAATTGTTCCTGTGAGAACAGCCCCTTCTCAGCTATTCTCTTCCAATGGTACCACAACACATTGCCCCAACATGAAGGGCTGATGTCTGCTATCCAGAAGGAGAGTGGCTGGGAGCGGCTTACCTTCCTCATACAATTTTACAGATCCACACAGCTTGTTCCTTTTCTCTCAGCTGCTCTTGAGATAAAAGAGCAGCTGGGAACAGGCTGCATGAGCTGTTCTGAGGCCAGCTCAGATCTGGCAAAGAACTCACCTGTGAAGCGCAACTGCAGTTTGCCAAGTTCCTTCAGGAAGCAGTGGGTTTGCCACATTTTCTGTATATGCATGTGAGTACAACTTTCTGTGTATGGAGTACGTTAATCAGAGAAAGAGGGAAAAGAGCTGTGGTAGGCAGTTACTCCTGGCACTAAAGAAGGAAATGTCACCATCTGGCTCTATATACCGCATGCCATTGCTTTAAGTCAGTGGTAGCAGAGACCTGTTTGTTTTTTTTAGGGCAGGGCTTAAATCAAAAAAACCCCCCCCAGCACCCCTGCCAATAGTAAAAAAATCAGAGGCGGGAGGGTGGGTGGGAAATATTTCCATTATTCTCATCCTCAAGCAAAAGTTAAAAAATAATCCAAACTTGGTGAAACCTCAGAATTAAATTGGGGAGACACACCTTTAACCACAGACAAAATATTAATCATTAGGAATGGAATTTTCTCAAAAAAATTCTTAGAAACATTATGAAATCCAGCTTATTTACACTGACAAAGGAACATGAAACCAAGATCACAGAATTTTCTAGAGATTATCTCAAGTCTTTCAAGTACGATACTCAGCAGTAATGCAAGTACTGTAGCATTGTCACCCCTTCCATGTGTTATTATGTGTCAACAAGTATATTTGATGCAGAGAGCACAAGTGGAAAGTCCTGCCCATGGTGGGGCTTCTTAGCAAGGCTGACAACTTCATGAACTGTACATCTGAGGGAAACTTAAACTGCATCTACACAGAGGAGCAGAACTGAGCTGCTGAGAATCAAGTTAGATCCAGAACTTGGTGCTGCAGCTTACTTGCGAGCATCATAAGCCAGGTTAATTAGACCAAAGTATTTAGTTAGCATGGTTACCACCTCTAACCATGACTGGACAGTGTCACTCCACCTTCAGTTTTGTGAAGATACAGCAGCACCTCAGCCTGGTGCCCTCTGCTGAGCTGCAAGATAGAGCTGTGCCCTGCAGAAGGCTGACAGTGCTCACTCACTGCACTTGCTCAGGTAAGGTTTTATTCATGAATGAAAGCTGGTCAGCTTCATTTGCCAATAGGTACTGCTTGCTTTCTTACTAATAACTGATCTAAATCTGAAAGAAGGTAAGACAGAAGGTAAATCAGGAGTCAGGCTAAGAATTAGATACACACACAGAAAAAGATTATGTGGAAAACAAAAAGAACAGAGAGAGGGTCTCTTCAAAGTACAGAAATAAATTTTCAAGAATGAAAAAAAGGGGTTAAAAAATAGAGAGAGTTAGAAAGAACATATTTTTCCTCACTTTGATACCCAATATAATTGGTACTACCTAGATTATGAACATTCTTTATCTTTCCCTCCTACTACAGAGGGTGACAGCAACACTTTGCTCTTCTGAGAAGCTGCCCAGCTAAATGATTCTCAATTCTACACACTCAAAAGACAGAAGGAGCTTTTAATTTCTAACCAAGAGAAATAAAATCCAGGACATTTTCCAAGTAAACACAGCATAACTACTAAAAAAAAAGTCAATAAAAAGGGATAAATTTTTCAGCAGTTCCCCTAAATCTTTCCTTTTCTCCTTTCCTCATCCAACTTTTACAATCTGTTCCACTTAGCAGTACCTATAAAAATACCTTCTAAGAGACAGAAAGTACATTTCAAAAATCCCTTTCTCAGTGTAAAAAACCGAATTAATTATATAAAGCTTTTCCTAAAATTGCAGTTTTGGTTCAAAGTTTTTAAACATCTGTTTTTCTCCAAGTAAGTTTTACACTGCAGAATCACACACACACTTAAAATCTCACTCTTAATGATCCAGTGAAATACTGTCTTAATGTGTCATTTTCATGTAATTGGAAGTTTAACACAAGAGCCATTTGCTCCAGCTGAGCTTGAGTCAGATGGCAGACTAAACAGAGACTCTGTGATCCAGAGCCATGTAATTACTGGAATAGGAAAATGTTTGACTCACCTTAATAGTATTTCTGAGCAGATGTTAATATCAACTCCTACAAAGCTGACACACTCTTCAACCACACTGTCCAGAGTTGCTTTGAGCAAAGTCTGTGATACATCATGCTGAGAAACAAAAATGGAGATATCAGGTTACTGAAACATCGAAGCATACATAAGAACTGCAAACAATACTAACGTTAATAAAATAGCTTCTGGAACTTATCCATATCTTATGTCATGTGAGGGCACCAGTTAAAAACATAAATTGTAGAATATTTTTAAAATGTACATCTTGAAGGTACATATTTTTAAAAGTACATCTTTGCAACATCTTTGTCATGATACAAATCCCTAGAATAAGACACCCTTCACATTACTGTATTTTTTGTTTAATAAACATTTCCCTGCATCATGTAAAAACAAAACTATCTTGAACACATATTGATTACTTAAAATGAGTAATACTTCTGTTCATCCACTATGTCTTGTCTTCAATTTGACATATATTTACCTATAACATAATTTTTTTTAAAAACAATACAATATTTTAAAAATAAGGTATTTAGAGAAAGGACCACAAATGCTGTACTTTTGCATCTGCACACACAAATGTTTGCAAAAGTGTCCTATTTTTGAGCATAACACTACAGTACAGTTATTATTTACTAAAAGAACAAGCCAGGTATTGTATGAGGGTGGGCAACACATAAGGTACATATCATCCCCGCAGCAACAAAATGTTCCAGATTTTGAACAGACATTTCTGGGAAGATTGGCAGTTTCTTGACTGAAACACCAATAACGGACATTCTTCCAGTTTTTCTATTATTGTTCATAGTGTTCCTCCCCTCCCCCCCCAAGAAAATCAGTCACACTTGTCAAAGATAAAAGTTCTGAAGATTTCTTTTCCACTACAATATAGGCACACTTCAATCTATAACTTCTAGTTCCCCACACAAGCCCATCAGTGCTTAGAAGTCTGACCTGGAGGGAGAAGCCTCTCTAAATGCAGGAGCTAATTCAATCACTGTGTTGGCTTAGCTTCAGGGCTCTTATACATCACTCATGTAAATCTGGGTTGATCCGTTGTGGTTTCGTGATGCATTCATTTAGGACATCAAGTTGGATTTGAGCCATGACACTAAACACTTTATCCACTACTTTGTTTTATCTTCTAAGCCATTCAGATCTTTTAAAGATTTCACAGTTAAATTTAACAGGCCACAGTATCAACCTCCATTTACTAATATTGGTAGTTCTTTAAATAGTGGTTAATAACTGCAACCATCCTAAAACTTATTTATTTCATACTCATCTCATTCCTTAAGATGACGATCATTCTTCAGGAGGAGTAACATGCAGTTATGTGATTTAAAACTGAGACATTGTCTCTACAATGCCTTATAGGAGAGGGTAAAAGAGCAAAGAAGGTAAGCAAATCCATAGATTTGGCCTAATCTTTCTAAGCAGTTCTTTGGATGAGACTTGATTCAGCAAGAGCTTTATTACCAGTTCTGCTGAAAGTGAACTTAGATAGCAATTCAGCCAATTATCCTCCCCCCAACCTGGGAAAGGATATATCACAATTACAAATGTCCCAAAACAGCCACTAGCAGAAGACAGACCAGTGCTCACAGATCTTTAGTTTCAAGCGAAAAGTTGGCATGTATGTGAAGATTTAAGTTTGTGGATGCAATAGTTTGTGTAAAATTCAGGTGATAGAATATACACAATTTGGAAAAAATGTAATATTCAACTGCTTATTTCTTTTGCCAGGAAGACAAGTTCTTGGGTCTCTCAAAGATGATTTGCACCTTTTAACTTTATTGCTGCTTGGCAGTCACTATTAAAAAAATAAAATAAGATATGAACAAGTTGTTCTTTATTACTCCAACACATAATAGCCGTACCACTTGGAATGGACATCACAGCATGTATGTGAAGGCATAGGTAAAGTGAATGGCCAGATCTGACACATAAGCATAAGACAACATGGCTAAAACAATCCCTAAGCTACCAATACCTCACAGAAAAAAGATACATTCAGCTAGTGAATGATGTTAAGTTGCAAATGCTAGGAAAATGTTCCAGACAGCAAATCTGCCTCCAAGATGCAGTTACTGACCATTACAGTTTCCTTTTGCTATGATGAAGACATTTCTACATCCCTCTTTACATTGATACAAAGCACAGAGAAGTGTTCTGGATTTAGTTTCTAAAAGCAGTTGAAAACTTTATTATGCCAATATCATTGTTGAGAGCTCCTACTGCTAACAGGTTACATTTCAGAAAGGTTTAAAGTGCAGCGCATTTTTCAGTCTTCCAAAAACTTCACTGATCTTCTCAAATACCAGTGGTTAGATAATATTATACACTTCTATGTACTATTTATAAGCACTTGGGTGATATCAGAGTATTCAGCGTCTACTAGAAGCATGCATACTCCATGCTACTCCCTCAGTACAACAGGTCTGTAAAGACAAGAATTCTTCTCAACTGTGGCATTAAGCATATCAGAATAAAACCTGCACAAATAAAGCCAAAGTCCAGTATGCAAGGATACTTTCAAAGTGTGCTTATGCAGAATTTTATGCTGCACAGCTTCCAACAACCCCTCCATAAATCAACATGGCAGATCATTGCATTAGCTGATACCCTGCAAATCCTTCTAAATAAGACATTTTCATATTAACACTAACTCTAAATGCACCCCTATGCATGACAGTGTCCCCACTAAAATTGTTAAGTATTATCTTTTTAATCAGAGTAACTCTTATTCATTAACTGTCTTTATCTGTGGAACAAATACCACAACTGCTCCCTCAAATTCCCTTGCAAAACCAGGAGAACTAGCTCTCTCAGCCAGCTGAACCCTTCGTACCAGGAGATTCCTTCCTCAGAGCCAAGGACAAACGGTGCCCCGACAGCTACGCTGAACAAGTAGGAGCAAGTCCTTTGCTACATGTTTCAAACATCATCTTGAATTTACCACCTGAATAAATCACTAAAGTTTTATTAAAAGGATACTCAGAAATTACTACTATTAAAATATTCACTTCTGGAATAGTAGGTCTGGAGCAGAAGACTTCATTTTATATGATGATCTCCAAGAAATAGAAAGGATTGACACCCTCAGTTTATGGAAACTAAGGCCAGCAGAAAGAAGGAACTTGCCACAAACTGCAGTATGTCCAGTGCACATCTGTGAACTTTCTTTTGTCATCACTTTATAGAAAACAGAGCCACCCTGCTTCATAGATAGCATTAGGAAATGCTTAGGTAACTGCTTGGTTTGAGTTTTTTGTGGGGAGGATTATAGAAACTAATCTGCCCTTAGAAATACCAGGCATTGTAACCATAATTTATTATTTGTTTTCTAAGGAATTATCAAGTGAGCCAGGGAACAAGGTACATAAAATTAAATTACTTGATTAACTGAAACTGCTACAGTAAGGAATTGTAGTTGACCAATAAATTAAATCCAAACATTACATTTTTCTAATATTTTTCTAAAGAGTATCCCAAATGTAACTTAGATTCATGAACCTGGACGAAAATCAAGGGCTGCTGTTTTGATTTCTGGTCATGATTACCGTTTAAACTAGTCTGTGGCAAATTTGTTAAAATTACTAGAAAAGGAATATTATATCGCATATTTTAAAACCACCATTCTGAAAATCAGTTATAAAAAAAAATCAATATAACTTCATTTCATGTACTTTCATTAAACACAACACAATATTTAACACTAAAGAATGGTGTTTAAGAATAACTGTCTATTGTGCACATGATAGTTTTGTCCTATTATTATATAACCCAATATTTCAACTATCTTTTCTTTTTACACAGTACAAAGCAGAGAGCAAAGATTGTTGTTTCACTCAGTTTCAAGAGCTACAAACACTCACTAGAAATAATTAAATTACTAAAAAATTTTATGTTCCTGGAGAGGGTGCTACTACAGCTGTAAATGAAAGCCATTTTCCAGTTTCAAAAACCTGTTGATGTACACAAAAGGAAGGTAGTATTTTAAACAGCCTCTCAGAGATCAGTTCTTTCTAGTAGTACACCACTACCGACTGTAAAAATACACTTGTCATTTGGACAAATTTAGGATGTCATAAGGATGACAAATTTATCAAGTCAAAGAACCACAGTTCACATGAAGCCCTGAGGCTGTACTTAGTCAATCTGCATGACCACAGGTGGTGGACCAGTAAACTAACTTTGCCTGACCAAGCACACTAAACGTTAGATTACCAGTGCTAGACTAGAACGACCCTAACTGGTAGATTTTACACAAAAGTAAATTACAACTCTAAGCTTTTTACCTTTGGCAACCTAAAAAAACCCCACAAATACTAAAACAACACACATAATTATCATGCATTTGGTAACCTTTTCTTGGTCCCTTATAAATATCATAATTTCAGAAAATACGGTACGATTGTATGTCTCTGAAAATCAAATTCAAACAGCTTAAAAGTCTAGTGCAACACACAGCAATTCTTAAATACCTATTATTTTACATTTACAAACATTAGCAGACAACTACATGACCAGCCCATGCATCGTTATTACTTTACAATGCCCAAGAGCCAAGCAAGTCACCTTCCAACACAGTTGAACAAGAATTATTCGTACCCTGCAGAGCCTACAAACATAGTGCAGACATGACCTAATGATGCTGGTCACAAAGCAATAAGGAGGGGAAGACTCAAGTCTGGGCAGCAGCCTGCAGGTTCTTGACCCAGGCTTGGCATTAACAGTATTAGAACAAGATCAACATTCACCCTAAATAAGACTGAGCTGCACGTCAGACAATCTATTTTGGTTTTTGATCAGGTTATACCTCACTTGTCCTTTGAATCCAAAAGTCAACCTTCAAGGAAGTAAATACAGTTTATTTTTTTCTGGCTTTAAGTCCTGAAATACTTCTAACACCTCATAAAACATTTTTTTGATGTTACCTACCATTAACTTCTGCATTCATGAGTTCTAATATTGGCTTGTGAGACCAGCCAAGAAGTCTCTCGAAAAAAACCCTTTTTTATTTAAGAAGTCATATAACTGTGCAAACTGAATGACATTTACTGAATGAGAAATTAGGTGGGACAACAGAT